CAGGAATGACATTCTAATTTCTTTTAATATGTTTGATAAAGAAGTCATACTTGGATAACCAATTTTTTAATATGATAATTTGGGGATCAAGAGACATCTTGATTTGTAATTTGAGAATCTTTGGAAAAAAATGAATTATACATTTGAGCCTCAAATTGGTATCCTCTTAAATAAAAATCAAACTTTTTTAATTCCATTTTAACAACTAAAACCTCCTTGAAGGTAGTGTGATAGTGTTTTTCAACTTCTTTGAATTGTCCATTAGCATGTCCACTGTTGAATTTCTTATTGTTGATTTCATGAATAAGAACAACTTTTTAAAAATGATCACATACATCAATTTAAAGGATTTTCACCCTATTCTTAAAATTTTTTAATGCTAAAGGAGTTTGAACAATCTTTTTTAACTCTTGGACAACTGGAATTTGTTTTGGTGGAGGATTCTTTTTCAAGAGCTTTGACAATTGACTAGTATATTTGACTACTTGAGGAATGAAGTCCCGAATATAACTGAGAATCCCAAAAAACTGTTGAATTTGCTTTATCATCAGGGATTGATCTCGGAAATTGAGAATGTATTTTCTCTTTTGAACCTTATCCTGGTGGAATGTATTTGAAGTTTGTTTGCAATAGTATATACATCCATACCAATCAAGATGTCTTTATTTAGTAGCTTGTTCCCAATTACTTTTGACCAAACAATGCATTCTAGGAAGAACTTGATTCCGATAGGGACTTTAGTAATTAGGTTTGTCTGAAATATTTTGCCATCAACTACTACAAAATAAGATATTTCTTTTTTCCAGAATTCTCTCAAAAGAATGTCTAGATTCATCATGATTTTTTGTACTTCTGTATCCATATAAGTAATGATTTTAATGGATTTTTCAAACTTTGAAGACAATAGTTTGATTTCTATACATGGTTGTGGAGGAATAGATTTATATTATTTATCATTTGTAAAGGAAAAAAATTAGAATTAATTTAGATTCTGAATGAGTTAAATAAGAATATCATACTTACATAGATTGATATATTTAATTTTAATAGTTTGTTATTTAAAAAGTTATTACAATAACCAAATAAGAATAAGAAGTCTCTTTGTTTAAATTTTAAAAAAAGTGTTTATAGTCAAGTATTTTAAAAAAAATAATTATTTAAGAAGCATATTGAAATTATTTTTGAAAAAAAGCAAAAAAATTATTTATTTTTAAAAAAATTTAGACAAACATATAAAAAATACTTATTTTATTTAAAAAAGAATTTTTATATAAAAGAATTTAAACAAATCAACCCAAGATTTAAAATAGTTATCACTATCAATCTTAATTTTTCACGATAATCAAATAAAAAAGATATCCAAAATGATTATCATTATATCTTTTATTAATATTTATTTTAGAAAATATTTAATATTTTTTGGAAAAATCACCCACAAATAACCAAAAGGAAAGAAGATTCGAAATAATTAATATTTGATAGAAAATTGTAATAATTAAATTGAAAGAACATCTAAAATTGTTATCACTATATCTTTTACAAATGTTTATTTTAGAAGCTATTTAATATCTTCTTGACAAAATCAATCACAACGAGAAGAAAATATAAAAAAAAAAAAAAAATTGTTACTGATCACCAAAATTATCATTATATTTGACTGTGTTATACTTATATCCATTAAGTTTATTTTTGTTTATTTCAAAATCTAAATGAGACTTGAGTTACATTAATGTAGCGTCTCCGGAAACCAAATTAGTTAATACAATCTTGTAAAATAAACTGTAAATTTTTAGGCTCATGATACATACACTTTTTTTTTTTTTTTTTATTTATAAGTACACTTCCTTTTAAAAAAAATTTATAAAATATTATAATTTTTTTAAAAAAAAATTAATTTTATACTTTCAACTTTCAATTTGTTACTTTCTTCTTCTTATTCACACACTTTTTTTTTTCTCTTTTAATTTTCACATATTACCAAAATAGGTGGGGTGAAAGAAAAATAAAGAAGTGCATGTAAAAATTGAAGAAAGGAAAAAAGATATGTAAAAAAAAAGTACTAAATTAAATATTGTGGATGTAAAATTAAAAAATTTAAAACAAAATTAAGAATATTTTAAAATTTTAATTATTTTTTTTAAAAGGAAAGATACTTATAAAAAAAAAAAGAGGTGTATATATCATGAACCAAAATCTTATTACAAAGTAATCAGTCTAGCAGCAACGAGGCCCAAACAGGCCAATTTTACTGGGCCTATTTTCTCGGCCCAAAACCAAATTTCACTTAATCAGCAAGTTTGATGACATGGCAAATCATGATTGGTTGATTTCACGTGGACTAAACAAAGTCAAATTTCGCTCACTATTATAAAACGAGAATAAGGAGAAACGAGATTTACCCGTTTGAACGAAATTCTATATTACCGGCGAGTATTCCTCTCTCAATCTGCGACACCGACGAACCTCACTCACCGGAATTTCGCATTCAGGTTCCTTCTTCTCCTTCCCTTAGATTGCTAATGCTGATCGCAGATCTGATGTTTTTCCTAAAATTTTAGGGTTCTGAAACTGAAGATGCACGATCTGTTCTGCTCCGATCATTGCTTTTTCTCTGTTTGGTTGAAATTTTTGGGATGTGAATTTGGTGGATTTTCAACGATTGGAATTTTTCATTCTGTCAAATTGCATGGATTTAGTTTGATTGGTGGGTTTCTGTGTTTTGTTCGTAATGATCCTGCTAGATTTTGTTGTAATTGATATGAACCGTGACGTTGTGGATCCAATTATTGTTTTATTTTTTTGTTGTGTAGGGTTTTCTCAGTCTCTGCTGTTGAAAGGTTGTTTTGAGGGTTTGTGGTTGTTTAATAGAAGAGTACAACAATTAGGCAAACTTGATTGTTTGTACGTTTTGGGATCTTGTTAGGGTTTCCGTGTTGTAGAGAAGATTAGGTTTTAAAGATCTTGAATTTTAGTGGTTGGTCGTAATGTTAAGTAATTTGATTCATGATCCGTACTTCTAGTTGGATGTGCATATGCACTTGTTCGTGCATTCATAGCAGATGTAACGGTGCAGAGTAGATCGGAGTTTCATAGGAGCTTTTGAGGTTGTTCACCCATTAGAATTGGAGTTTCAACTCGGTAATATACGATTGACCTTCAATGCAAACCTTTATTATTTGGACTACCACAGTGAAACTCCAATTATGATCGAGGAGCAACTCTAGAATTACCTATGGAAGGAATTGCATCTTATTTTGTCCTTTCTCAAATTAATGAAGTTGCTGAAGAGAAAGGATAAAATATTTAAATCTAATGCATACATACCAAATCTTGATTTCTGTTGTTTGCGAGTGTATGTAATGCATTGTTTTTTCATTCATTTAATTTGAGTACTTGAGATTTTCCTTTCACTTATCTGATTAACTTGTTTTTAAAATTGCTGTAGGGGTGGTAGAGTGAGTTATGAGAACACTTGGTTGTATTAGTTTATTTCTGAGGTTTTGTATGTTGGTGTTGATTTAAGATTCCTAATGTATGTGTGAAATATGTGTTTCAGAAAATGGCTTTAGGTGGTGGAACAGCTCCCCAAAGAGGAAGTGCAGCGGCTACTGCAAGCATGAGGAGAAGGAGAACAACCGGTGGTGGGGCCTCTGGAGGAGCAGCTGGAACTATGCTCCAATTTTACACCGATGATGCCCCTGGACTCAAGATTTCCCCTAATGTGGTCCTTGTAATGAGCATTGGCTTCATAGCATTTGTTGCCATCCTTCATGTGATGGGCAAGCTGTATTTCGTGCGTAAAGAGGCTTAGAGAATACATAGGCTCATTTTTGAATTTTTAACAGTTTATGTTATGGAATTTAGATTTTCTGTTGCTGGAACCACCTCTTCCTTTTGGTACAATATTTTGTTATTTTTTTAAGTTAAATAGTTGAAATACTTTTGGTCGTAAGGAAAAAACATTTCTGTTCTTTTTGGTTTTGCACTTGTTGAAATATGTTTTAGCTTTCCCTTAGTTGCTTAACTTGAAGGTGAAAAAAAACTAAATGTTGGAATTTATGTTGTAGATTGATTGCTAACCACGTATATCCAATCAGATTAGCCTTTTATATTTTGTTCTCCTTTGAAGTTTGAATAGTACGAGATTCATGCATAGCTTAATTACTAGGTTTTACACTTTTTTTCTTCTAGTTATAAGGCTGATGGTGTTCCTCATGTAATGACTTGGGCTGAGTTTTGGCGACGCCTATCTTTAAAAGGCGTAATTGCCTAGCAATTTCCTATTTAATGGTCAGAACAGAGCCCGAGATTTTGACCATCGTAAGCAACTTGTAAACTCTTGCAGTTCACCATATTATGCCGCAACAGTACACAAATTCTTTGATAGATACAATTGATCCATACTGTGCATTTAGGTACTTGTTGCTATCATGAATAGCTTAAGACTTAAGAGAGAAAAAGAACTCATTGTAAAAATTATTAAATTATGGAAGATAAATTGTAATAAAGACAAAGCCCTCTCAACTTTTCTAACATTAGAGTTGTAAATCAATAAATTACTCCTTTTATTTTTTTGGGTTTTAATTAGATTGTTGTTTTACAATAAAATTAAATGTGTATTTTCTGTTATATTCTTTAAGGCTTTAATTATTATTAATGTGTTATTTGATTATTGGTGGTAATCCAAAAAGTTTAATAGTGTGTTTGAATAAAGAATTTCAGAAATTCAAAGAATTTGAAATTTTTGAAATTTAAATTATTTTGATTTCAATTTTTATAATTTTTTAAATATTCTATTTGAACAAGTCAATTCAAATTTCTTAAATTAAAATTCTTAATTTGGATATGATAATTTAATTTTTTTTATCATGTGTAAAATTGATTATATATATATATATATTGAAAATTTAAGATTAAATTTTATGATAATAAATATTTATTTTTTAAAATATTTAATAATTTTAAAAATTAATATTAAATAATATTTAATAATTTAAAATTTTAAATATTTAATAATTAAAAGATAGAAGAGAGATAAAAAGATATATAAGAAGAAAAAATATTAAAAATTTTAAATTCTTACTTTTTTTTAGTAAAATTTAAAATTTTATTATTTTAAGGAATTTCGCAAATGATTAAATTTCAAATTCTTTGTAAATTTTCTATTCAAACAAAATATTTCATTCTAAGACATTTGAAATTCTTAAAAAAAAAATTACTTCATTTAAATTCTTTATTTAAATGAACAATAAAAATATATTAATAAATTGTCAGGCATATTAATTGTACTTTTTAGGTTTCATGTCAAACAAAATAGACGGTAGGAAGTACAAATTAATATATAATAAATTTATTGTTTTTCAAATTAATTATTTAAAAAATTATAGGGGTTTCCTATTTTTTTTATAGATTAATAGCTCAATTTTTTTCTTAATTTGACAAAAATACAAAATGAAATAAAAAAAACCACAAAAATGCCTTTGACGAAATATACTAGACATTAGTGCATGCAAACTGTTTGTATAAACTATTTTTAAAATCATTTCATAGTAAAAAATTGAAAGAAAAAAAGAAAAAGTTTAAATTTATTTACACCTATTTTAAAAATAAGTTTGCAGAGAAATTAATATGAAACATTTTACAAATTAGTTTATGTATAAGTTAATTTTTAATTATGAAGAATCTAATTTTATTTTTTATTATTATTTTCTTTCACTCTGATTAGTTTTGAAAATTTTTATCCAAAGGCACTCTAGTAGCTTTTCTCAACGTGAAAAATTTAGATAAGTAAAATTAAATCTTATTTTAAATAAGTAAAATTATAATATTCATTATGTAAATTTAAGTTTCAAATTGCAAGTTGAATATTTTATTCAATATAATTGTCTTAATTATTTTTTGAAATTTTCTCTTTTCTCCGACTTCCAAAATGGTATGAGTAAGAATCATAATCATACACGTCAGATGAAAAAGTTGTCCCAATGCGCAACAATGTTGTTCACAGTTCACACCCATGATTCTGGTTTGACCCACAGAGCCATATGCCACGCCATGCACACCGTAGCAACTCCCCCCATAGGCCATGCCAAAGCACACTATAGAAAAAAGCTTCTCTCCTGTCACACTCTCTCTCTTTCACTCTTTCCCTTTAAATCTCTCACTTTACTCTCTTTTTCAGAACCACAACAAGAACAAGAACAATAAGTGGTACAAGTAGAACAACAAGACTTGGAACCATTATTTTTTATGCTCACTTTCTCTTTCAAGTTTCAACCTCTCTGGCTTCTCTCAGTTTCTTATTCTTAGGTAGGTCTTTTCCCTATACACGTTCTTATTCTCAGCTGCTTCTATAAAGTATTTAAACCACAGACAAGCAAATTCTTCTTTTGGTTCCCACATCAGCTCACACGGCTCAACCACTGTTTTATTCATATCACATGGATCTTCAACGTTTTTCCTTCACCATATCACAGTATATGGTGTGATCTTTTGTTTCTGATTTGCTTATGTAATTTCACTGCACTTTTTTCTCCACAGCCACCAACTCTTTGTTTTCTTTCAAAAAAACACTGTGTCACCCCACTTGGAAAAATACTCAAAGCTTCTGCTCCTCTGAGTGCAATGATCACCATTCCTCCTTGGAAATTCTGAACTTTGAAAAGCAGAAAGTGAGTTTGCTGAAGTTGCTTTACTTTGTTCTCTTTTAATTTTTTAACCCTCACATGGTTACTGTCTTCCGTCTAGTCCATTCCTTTGTTTGTTTTTATTGCACTTTTTGTTTATATCCACCAAGGATTTGATTGTTACTCCCCCAACTTTTTTGTGTCCTTTCTACTGCCACTGTTGCAGTAGTATAATTAGTAATAACAATAGCACCTTTGTGCCTCTCTCTCATTATTTTTCTTGCATTTGAAACTTTCTTATACTTGTGCGTGACAAGGTGGTTGTTTGTTTTCGTTTGGTTTTTATACCATGCTTTGTTGGGACCCGCCAACCTTTTTCTACCATATGTAAGCAAATGGAATTGCAGTGCTTTTGTAAGGGAATAGTAGCTTTCTGCGAAATTCATGAAGAGCTCCACTGATGTATCGCTACATTCTAGATATTACTCTGATGAAGCAAGTGCAATTCATCCTACTCCTATCACTGTCTCTTGTTCTTTTTTGTCCACCCCTAGTGATCTCAATAGACTCATCTTTCAACGATGATGTGTTGGGGTTGATTGTGTTCAAGGCCGGTCTAGAAGACCCCCAAGGCAAACTCTCTACGTGGAATGAAGAGGATTATAGTCCTTGCAATTGGGTTGGTGTCAAATGTGACCCTGCAACAAATAGGGTATCTTCTCTTGTTCTTGATGGATTTTCTCTTTCTGGCCACGTTGATAGAGGCCTTTTGAGATTGCAGTTCCTTCAGATTCTCTCCCTCTCTAGGAACAACTTCACAGGGACCATAGCTCCTGATCTTCTCAGCATTGGTGATTTACAAGTTGTTGATTTGAGTGAGAACAATCTATCTGGTTCAATCCCAGATGGGATTTTTCAGCAATGTTGGTCTCTAAGAGTAGTATCATTTGCCAACAACAACCTCACTGGTAAGATTCCTGATTCTTTGAGCTCATGCTACTCATTGGCAGTTGTGAACTTTTCCTCTAATCAGCTACATGGGGAACTGCCATCGGGAATATGGTTTTTGAGGGGACTACAGTCAATCGATGTTTCAAATAACTTCTTGGAGGGAGAGATTCCCGAAGGGATTCAGAATCTGTATGACTTGAGGGAGTTGAGGCTAGGGAGGAACCACTTCACTGGTAGGATTCCTCAGGATATTGGAGACTGCTTGCTTTTGAAGTTGGTTGATTTCAGTGGTAATTCTCTCTCTGGGAGACTTCCTGAGTCAATGCAAAAACTCACCTCATGCTCATTCCTCAGCTTGCAAGGGAATTCATTCACAGGAGGCATTCCACATTGGATTGGAGAAATGAGAAGTCTAGAGATATTGGATCTCTCTGCAAATAGATTTTCTGGTTGGATTCCAAATTCAATAGGAAATCTTGACTTGCTGAGTAGATTGAATCTGTCAAGGAATGAGATCACAGGTAACCTGCCAGAGTTGATGGTAAACTGCATTAAGCTTTTGACTCTTGACATCAGCCACAATCACTTGGCTGGCCATCTTCCTTCATGGATATTTAGGATGGGTTTACAAAGTGTTTCTCTTTCAGGGAACAGATTTAGTGAGAGCAATTACCCCTCACTTACTTTCATTCCTGTATCTTTCCATGGCCTTCAGGTTTTGGATTTGTCATCAAATGCATTTTCTGGCCAACTTCCATCTGGAATTGGAGGTCTTAGTAGCTTGCAAGTCTTGAATTTGTCCACCAACAATATCTCAGGTTCTATTCCTGTGAGTATAGGAGAACTTAAATCTTTGTACATTCTTGACTTAAGTTACAACAAGCTAAATGGAAGCATTCCTTCAGAAATAGAAGGGGCAATTTCACTCAGTGAAATGAGGCTACAACAGAACTTCTTAGGTGGGAGAATTCCATCTCAAATTGAGAATTGTCCAGAACTAATATTTCTGTAAGCTCCTGAAATTCTTCATGCTTTGTTCTTTATAACATTATTTGGTTAAATTTTTTATTCAAATGAAAAACCTTTTGTTGATTCTATTTTAGTTGTGAAAATTCAAATACTGGGTTTAAGAGTCTACATTTTTTTCCTGATTATTTTTTCTTTGTGCATTTCAATGGAATGGTACAGGAATCTTTCTCACAACAAGCTTATTGGTTCAATCCCTTCAGCCATTGCAAACCTAACCAATCTTCAGTATGTAGATTTCTCATGGAATGAACTCTCTGGAAGCTTACCAAAGGAGCTGACAAACCTTTCCCATCTTTTCTCATTTAATGTTTCATACAACCACCTTCAAGGTGAGCTACCAGTGGGTGGCTTCTTCAACACTATCTCTCCTTCATCTGTCTCTGGTAATCCATTGTTATGTGGTTCTGTTGTTAATCATTCTTGCCCTTCTGTTCATCCAAAGCCTATTGTCCTAAACCCCAATTCTTCTTACTCCAACTCTGGCTCTTCCTTACAAAACCATCATCATAAGATTATGCTCAGTATTTCTGTCCTTATTGCTATTGGTGCTGCTGTTTTTATTGTCATTGGTGTAGTGGTTGTTACTGTCCTAAATATCCATGCGAGGTCTTCAATGTCACTTTCTGCTGCCCCATTTGTATTCTCTGGTGGCGAGGATTATAGCGGTTCGCCACCGAATGATCCAAACAATGGCAAGCTTGTGATGTTTTCTGGTGATGCTGAATTTGCTGATGGTGCTCATAATCTTCTTAACAAAGAAAGTGAAATAGGGCGTGGTGGATTTGGAGTTGTTTATTGCACTGTCCTTAAAGATGGTCATTATGTTGCAATCAAGAAGCTTACAATGTCCACTTTGAGCAAGTCTCAAGAAGACTTTGAGAGGGAGGTTAAAATGCTTGGGAAGATCAAACATCAAAATCTTGTGGCACTTGAAGGTTATTATTGGACTCCATCCTTGCAGCTCCTAATTTATGAGTACCTAGCCAGAGGGAGTTTGCAAAAGCTTCTACATGATGATGATAGTAGCAAAAATGTGCTTTCTTGGAGGCAAAGGTTCAAGATCATTCTTGGAATGGCAAAAGGGTTGGCCTATTTGCACCAAATGGAGCTAATTCATTACAATCTAAAATCAACCAATGTTTTCATAGATTGTTTGGATGAGCCAAAGATAGGAGACTTTGGCTTGGTGAGGCTATTGCCAATGCTAGACCATTGTGTTTTGAGCAGCAAAATTCAAAGTGCACTTGGATACATGGCTCCGGAGTTTGCTTGCCGCACAGTCAAGATAACTGAGAAATGTGACATATATAGTTTTGGAATTTTGATTTTGGAGGTGGTGACAGGAAAAAGACCTGTGGAATACATGGAGGATGATGTGGTTGTTCTTTGTGACAAAGTAAGGAGTGCATTGGATGAAGGCAAAGTGGAGCAATGTGTTGATGAGAAACTTAAGGGTAATTTTGCTGCAGAGGAAGCAATTCCTGTGATAAAATTGGGGTTGGTTTGTGCCTCACAAGTGCCCTCAAACCGTCCAGATATGGCTGAGGTAGTCAACATATTAGAATTGGTCCAATGCCCTTCAGAAGGACAAGAGGAATTACATTGAATTTGAAGTTATAGAATTCGTGAACACCACATTTATTGCAATACCTGGTGAAGAACAATCCAGTTTGCTTGCTTTAAAAGATATACATCATGCAAAGAATATTTGGTCAATTTCTTTCCCTAGTTTTTGTTTGTTGTTTCAGTTGTTGTTGCAAGTTTTACTACTTTATTCTTTTACTTTTGGTCATCTCAAGTTGTACTACTGGATTTTTCTTCACCAGTTTCAAAGCTAATACACTGGTGTTTCAATCGTACTCTTTGCCTACAAAGCAGGAATTCAATTTTCTGAATTTGAACATTCGTTGCATTCTTGTTTGGTTTTTGTTCTTGTGGGACAAACTGTGATTCATGTTGGTACTAAAGCCCACACAAGTGACATAACTGATTAATGCACCCTTCTAAATAACATGCAACTATTTGTCTATTCCTTACCATAAGAGTTTTTCTTTGTTTATATATACATATATAAGATTTCGGAAAAAAACAAATGAAATGGGGGAACAAAGCAGTTACAACGCAGAGTAAGAAGATCAAAATACATGCCACGACTCCAACAAATAATGCCAAAGAGAGGGAATGAGAAAGAAAAAAGAAAAAGTAAAGGCAAAAAGCATTCGCTTGCTTTATTGACACTTAAAGCTAGGACTAGAATGTTTGGTTCTTCATAGTTATAAACGCTCCTCCCCATAAAACAGTAATTAATAATTTGCTTAATTGCCTTAATTGAGATGCAGATTTTACTAGTTAATTTTTTTACCATTAATACTTTTAACCCATTAAATTAAAAATTAATCTCACTAATTAACAGTGTTATGTTCGTTGTTGACAATACGGATTATTTTACTGGTGAAATTTTAGTAACAAATGATTGTATTAAGAATGATAATTCTCCATAATTCAGAGAATAAATTTACAGAAGTATAAAAATATAAAAATCGTTGCTGGCGAAACGAGTTATTTTACTTGTGAATTTAGTAATAAACAATTGTATTAAGAATGATAGTTCTCCATAATTCAGAGAACAAATTTACGAAAGGATAAAAATTCAAAAGATTTAAATATGTTTTTAGTTTCTGGATAAATTTATTTTTGTCTCTTAAATTTAAAATTCTTAGTTTTTAGTCCCTATAACTTTAAAAAGTCTCGTTCTATTTCTTATACTCTAATTTTGTTAAAAAAATCTTTTAAATACTATTATTATAAAATTTATTTATTGGTATTCTTATTATGAAAATATCATATAAATTTAGTTGATAACAATTACCTCAATTTATCTCTTTTAAATATTTTATTAATAATTTAAGGAAATAAAATAAAATATTTAAAAATTATGAGGATTAAAATAAAAATTTTTAATTTAAGAGAAAAAATAACTCTAAATTTAAGAGAATAAAATTATATTTAAGCCAATATAAAAATACAACGGCATGAAATCCATATTGTGGAGCTAATCACATTACATCATGCGTACTCATAACTCATATATGCACAAATAAAAAACTATAGATAAATTAATTTTGTTTAAAAATATAAAACATAAACTAAAAGGTGTATCTTATTACTCTAAATACTTTGATTAATGATAAAGTCAAAATAACATGTATAAATAAGAATAATTTTTATCTTATAAGTCAATTTTATAAGATTGAATTAAATTTAAAACTATTTTAATATGATATGAAAGTTTACTCTTGTTATTTACCTTATTATATTACTTACTATGCGATCATTATCAAATAATTCACAAATATTAAGTCTTACAAATATAATGCTTGAAATTTATATTTAACATGAGGAAGATACGTTAGAAACTCAAAAAAAAAAATAGTTCATAAATTATGATCCTTAAAAACAAAATTTTACCTAATTAATTATTTTCAGAATTAAACTAAATTCAAAATTTTAAGAGATTGATTTGGATGGTGACAAAAAATGATATAAAATTAATTAAAATAGATTAATAATAACTTGTATTCTAAAAATTTAGTTGAAAAATATAAATTAAATATATATGACTCATTATTTTATCAACAAAAAATATTATAAGGATAATTATAAATATCAAACTTGAGTCTTTATCCATGTATTTCAACCATTCAATTACTAAGCTGATTTTAGTTATTCTTACATAAATCTTGTTTAATAATATTATAAAAATTATAAATTTAATTATTAATATTAAATTTTTTCATGGTTTATATTATATTTTTAGAATTATCTTTAAAATTATTAACATGTCATTTTCATAATTTTTTATTTAACTAGCTGATATATATCTTCATTAAAGTAATGATCTTTTACGTTTTATAGAAAGAGACAAGTGTCCTAAAATAAAAAATTAAAAAAATAAGAAAAGAAAGGGATAAAGTGAAAGAGAGAGATAGTTGGCTAGTTTTTCAGTTTTTCTCCTATCCAATTATTATGAGAAAAAAAACTATTTTTTTACAGTATTTATTGTTTATTAACGATTCCCTAGGAAAAAAATGAATAATTAAAGACGTATTCGTAAAAAAAAAACAAATTAATGGAATGAATAATTTGAAAAAAGTGTCATAAAAAGAACCACATTTTTTTTCAAGAGATTCCTATAACCACGACACAAACATGTCAAAGTGCTTCTTCGACATCATCAAAGCGCGAGTCACAACGAGTCCTTAAAAGCACCACCAACTAACTAACTTTTTCTAATGACAACATTTGGTGCAGTGCTTCGTAATCATGATTCATGGCCATGGTGCACTGTTTTTGATTGCTGTCTAATTCCAGAGTGCACATAATATAATAATTAAGAGTTTATCACATATAATTATTTTTCAGTGCTCTTGTTGATTTACATTTACGCTACCATATATTATATATGCATTACACGTATAAGTCATAAAAAAAATTATAGAAGATCACACAAAGGAACATTGTTAACATTGAAATAAAAAAGGAATGTCTCCATTTCAATTGTCTCTTAATGCAGGTCTTAGAATTTGAATTTTGTAATGTAAAAAACTGCTATTGGAAAAAAGAAGATATAATCAACTATATGTTTAGTTGGGTGGATGAAAAAGGAGAGGAAAGGAAAAATTTTCAATTTCAATTTGAAGAAAAAATGGAAGGAAATTTTTTTGTTTTTGTTAATCAACTTTTCTCTTTATTTTCTTCTATTTTATTTTTATGCATATTTTTTTACGATTTTTTCTTTATCTGTTTTTTTTCACCTCTTCCAAAAATAGACAAAAGTAATTTGTCAATTTTTTTAATAAAAATTAATTATCAATAAAACTAGTGAATATATTTTGCTAATAACTTATTACCACAAACATTTTAAAAACAAGAATTATTATCTCTTTTTTTTTTATATAATCCAAAAATTGAAAATAAATGAAGTACAAGGGGTACTCCAACGCATTACAAAATACCACATGTAAAATGTGTAATATGTCCACTAAAAATACCGTTCCACAATTAGGAACCTAAGCTAGACCATTACATCTAACCCACAACATTGAAATAGAAATTGTAGAATCAGATTTCTCTAATAGTCTCATTTATCACTTGAATACATTTACCTAAGTGAGGCAAGTTGCTGGATTCATGGACCAAGAAGCAAAGTCGTACCTAAAATCTTTATGCATTGTCCTTAACCAGTTTCAGGTTCTAATTTTAACCAAATCTACCATCTTCGATACAGATATTTGAGTGGAAGAAAAGACCACTTCATTCCTAGCTAACCACACTATCCATATGATTATCTCATTTTTATCTAACATGAAGAATATAATTAATTTTTTTTAACTATATTATTAATATAAAATATCTATCAATTTTATCAATAATTAATTTTTTATAAAAAATATTACCAAATTTAATATATATTAATGACTAATTTAACATATACTTGTTGAATATAATTAAGTCAATATTTATTTAACATACTCAATAGATTTATTAAGTATAAAATCTTTTATTATTAATCATGTTATTAATGTGGAATATTTATTAATTTTATTGATGAGTAATTTTTATTGTAAAAAACTGTTTGACCACTTTTAATAAAATCTTCTCTCTAAATATTTAAATTTACGTGACTAATTAAATATAAAAATGTTTAAATTAGTGTGAACTATTTTTGAAATATTGTTTAATGAAAATATTATTTGTATTATTTTAATTAATTCTTATATATTAAACACGAATCTTTATTTTTTACGAAATTGTTATTAAATTTTTTTTTAACAAGATAATTTTTAGAAATTTTTATAATTTTTTATCTAACTTGATTTTTCTGGCTATTTCTTAAACAATACTTCATATGGAGATTTTTGTCCAAGAATAGGTGTAGGTAGTCTATTTATAACATGAATTGCAGTACTAAAAGCATCAGCCCAGAAATATTAAAACCTTTTGGTTGTATCTGCTATCCTCACCTAAGACCGTTTAACAGCCATAAAATGGATTTTAGATCCTCTCCTTGCATTTTTATCGGTTATAGCATGCATCATAAAGGATACAAATGTCTTACAAATAATGGCAAAGTTATTATATCTAGAAATGTGATATTTGATGAAGATACGTTTCCTGGTACATTGTCTGTCAATACTAACAACAGTGCAGGAATATCAAAGTCTCAAGTATTTTCAGTAGTACCAAGTATACAGGTTGTGCCGTCTCAAGTATCTTCATTCAACAATGTTCCATCTGTTGAATCCCTTGAGAACTTCCAACCTACTTCCAACATTAACGATTCAAATGCAGGTCCTAGTACACCTCCTTCAAATTCAAACTCTCCATCAGCCACCATCGGAATACCAGCTCCCACACAAATTGCCACGTCTGAAACAACTCAACTTCTGGAAAACCAACACCCTATGATTACTAGAGCTAAGGCTGGTGTTTTTAAACCTAAAGTCTTTCTTGCCACGTCTGAACCAACAACTGTCGTTCAAGCTCTTGAAACGAAACATTGGAAACAAGCCATGCAAGATGAGTACAATGCCTTGATGAAGAATTATACATGGGATTTAGTCTCATTACCACCAGGAAGAAAAGCAATCACTTGTAAATGGATATTCAAGAACAAGTATAAACAAGATGTTTCCATTCTTAGACATAAAGCTCGTCTAGTGGCTAGAGGATTTAATCAACAGCAGGGGATAGACTATACAGACACCTTCAGTCCGGTTGTCAGGCCTGTCAGCATCAGAGTAGTCCTTGCTCTGGCTGTTTCGCAAGGCTGGCCAATTCATCAAATAGATGTGGACAATGTCTTCCTAAATGGAGAGCTACAGGAGGAGATATACATGCTTC